CGTGTGGGTACAGAAGTAACAACATCCGGAATGTCATGCGGATCTGCTCGCTTTGTTGCTGAAGTGGTTGATGTACTACTTGCTGCTGCAACGGGTATGCTGCTGCCAAGCGCGATTTTCGTTCCTTACTTGATGGAATTCAATATCAACACTCTCGATTTTCCAGATACCATGCTTTATGACGACGCGGAATTTGTCAACCTGGTGCTTGAGAATCGAGCATTCTTTGCCATATCATGGGGTGATGCAGTGACGAAAATTGTTCCTCACGTAAGTGTCTTCGTTTGTCTAGTGGCTATCGGATCCATCCTCGAGAGCGAAGTTCTACATGTAAAAGATGCACCATCTTCGTCACCCCTACATAAGGTCCGTTCACAGCGATCTAACTTGAAAGTGGATTCTCACAGTGCATCAAAGAAGGCGTCTAAATCCTGTAAACCAACACGCCGCTTTGATCATATATACCGTCTCGTTGTTCGAAATGTGTTTCTAGTGACCGGAGTAATTGTGACTGTGTTACACTTCATTGCTCAGTATAGTACCACCCGCGGTGATCTGGACCTTATAGATAAAAGCTGTCTCCAAAAAATGCATCCGTGGTTTTCTCAGAATTACAGCTGCACCGTGGTAAAATACAACTGCTACGCGCTAGGTGTAGCAAGTCCACCTTCTGACGCTCTGGGATGGCTGGAACGTGAGGCACTTCGCACAGTTGTGTTCATGCATTGTTCAGGGTTTGTGATGCCAGAAAGTATTCGAGAATTTCCTTTGCTTATGGGTATTGAGCTCTGGAATACGACAATTGTGAGATGGGGAGAAGAATCCGCCTTATCTGCTGAGCTGCATCCTGTAATGCTGTTCATGATTATGTCATACGTCAACATGACTGAGGTGCCTACTGGGATTCTACCCCTCCCATCACCAGCACGATTAACGGACCTGGAGTTCAGCCATACGAATCTGACGGCGTTACCTGATAGCGTTGCCGACTCGTGGTCAATGGTTGAGATTTTGTATCTTGAGCACTCTCTGTTTGAACAATTTCCTAGTGTAGTTATGAAGATTCCAGTCTTGAGTGAGCTCTCACTCATCGACAACAAGATTGAATCAATGCCTGGTGATTCATTAGTCACAGCAGCCTCAACTTATTTCTACGATTTGGCACTGTCTCGAAACCCTTTGCAAGAGTTACCAGATGCAAGAAGCGAAACTTTTGAGGTGTCTTTATTGTCACTGGAATTTACACAGATAACAGAATTGCCGTCGTGGGTGTACACAAGCATTTTAGAATCTGTATCGTTAGGAGGTTCACCAATGTGCGAGGAAGGCCGTAACGTTAGTCTCACCAGTATCGAGGTTTGTGGACAAGACGAAAACTCGTGGGATCCATTGGGGGGAGAGCGCTTTCCGATACAGCTAGTTCAGCAATTGAGAGAATTCTAAGCTCACATGGATGGAGATTGATCCAAATTGCGTAGAATGTAAACTCGAACACTGTCTTTCAGAAAACATTTTTTTTAACTGCTGCTAAAATTTTCGTCGGGTTTCACACTAAGTTGATAAATACTACACATATTGCCCTCGAAATTGCGGTCGAGCCATTTCGGAGCGGAAAGCAACTGAAGAGCTCATCTTTAACACAATAGCAAGCAGTCGTTCGTCGGAGCTAAGTCAGACGAGGTCTCTTACTGTCCAGCAGTTGAACCACATCTGTGTGTCCATTCGACTTCGCGCTTGCTATCGCATCGCAGATACTTGTGAGATCACATCGCTCCCGTAGCACGTCGACAACTGCCAGCTCGCGCTTATGAACAGCAACTTCAAGTGCACAACCAATAGACGTCGAGTCACACTTGTGAAGCATTGACTTTACTGTCCCAATGTATCCGTTTGCAGAAGCCGTCATTAGAGCCCAACGGATGCAACTTGT